GTTAACATCTTGACAGCATTAACCTTCCATATTAGTAATGACGGTTTCCAGCTTAGGATTACAAGATCACTACATTCCAAGACGGTTCGCCGGCATCGACTGAGCCTTGCCGTACTTAAAATCAAGATAAAATTTTTCGGACATGGTAAATGATAATGTGACAGTAAAGTAATGATGTCACACATCTAGCAGAAAGTTGATCAACGGCATGCAAGATTGGTGCCGAGACTTTCAAGGCCTACAGACGACGCCTGTAAGACGTCTGAGAAAGTGCAAAGTACACGGTTCGACTGTAAATCGCCATTACTAACATATCAAAGCACTGTACAAACTGTCTTCACCTTGACAAGACTGAACAAAATGATAAGCATATTGGTCCTCAAATCAGAGAATAAATTGGATAAAAATGTTTATCTTGTTCCTATTATTTAGATTTAATGATAGCCTTGTTCATATCCCAATATTGAAAAAAAATGACTGTCATGACTAAGTTTTTTGGCACTCAAGCAAGCAAAAGAGGAATCCTAGCATATAGATAAATATGAATCCCGGTGGAAACGGTGATGGGATTTTGGCGAGGTTAAAATTAGTCGAATCTAGATGACAGAATCTATCATGAAGAGAAGAACAAATGAATTCAGTGTTAAAATGAATGACATACCCAACCACCGGGGTTTTCACCAAATTGTATTCTATTCCTCTCACTATATCTGCAAATTATAACTCGTTTTTATTTAGCTTTTACACCTTGTTATATCATACGTCCTTACATCTTTTGAGCATTGAGATTCGATTTGCAGTAGTGTCTGTACAACCGTTCCCCATTTTTGTCATCTATATTTTTAGTATACCCAAATCCTTGATATACGTAAAACTACTAGTAATTCAGCTTGCTGAATAAAGTACTTAAATTTCCTTAAGCGACCCAGATTTACTAAGTCTATATTCATATACAAATTCCCCAAATATATTACATGGCTTGGATTTGAGGATCACAGAACGAGAATGAGCCATTTTGTCAAGCAGGTCTGAAGCCTCAAAGTGAGATAATCTAATATATATTCCATAAGTAAGAGTAGTATAAATAGGTGTTCTAAATAAGAGAATAGTTATCTATATAAAGACAAAAGTAAAATAGCTAATGGTAACAACCTACTAACCTGTAGAACAGCAGAAAGGAATTTGAGAGTCCGTGGACATGTGGTGAGGTCCATGGTTGTAGTTGTGGTGTCACCGATTCCTTCGGTCGTACTGAGGCCAGAAGGCGGTGGGACTTGAGGCTTAATCATGAGAGCATCAGATTTCAAGCTGGAATGCGGGGAGCCGGTAATAACATGAGTTACTTCTAGTGACATATCGACAGCCACGTGAGCATGGAGCATATTCGATACTTTGTGGAATAATGCCTTCTGGGTGCGATTGAGTCCAGTAGCCAAAAGGACAGGACGTAAACGACGCCTATTTTCGCAACATATGGTAAAAATTATTGGTCAGTGCGAAATATAGGTCCTATCTATTAGAGAATACTAATCTAAAAACCAGTTTCCTAAAAGGCCTTAATCATTTCAATCACAAAATGGATATTGTGCTCAAACAAGATTACCTTTCAATGAAGGAAGCGGCAGCTGAAATGTCTATAGAGGTGACGCATAATTCTCTGATATGGGGATCTGAGGGAAGAAGACTCAAATCAATGGTCGAAATTCCGGATGAAAGCTTATGTTGGATTTTGAGCTTTTGCTTCTATTAAAAAAGTTTAGAAGATACATAATTAGCCAAATATGCAGTGATTTACAATTTTAACATAAAATTACGTAGATATGAAGATCAAGATGGTGTGGCCTTCTGCTAGGTCGTAGTCTCCTTTAGCTTCATAGTGTTGGTCCGATATTATGGAACGTACCTAGTCCCGTGTCCTTTGTCAGAGTATTCGTGATTTCCAGCATTGGATCGTTGGCTGGGTAGACTCCCAAACGTTTCGCTTCAAATCCATGACTCAATTATCCTCTCCCTCATCCCAACGCACATTTTCTCTTATTCTTTGGAGCCGTGTCCGGCTTGAGCCATAACTGCTAGTGTGAGAATGCACCGCTTTTCTTTTATCCTTTGAATCAAAAAAAGCATACTCTTATCCTTATAGATGACATTCCCATATAATCCTCGTGTACTAGGATGATGCTCATTTGTGTGCTTGTGTTGGCTGATATCACCCGTGATTAAGCTTATCGTCAGTCATCTTCACTTCAGGCACAGATACGAAAAATACACACATCTACGCACACTCTTGTGACCTCTATCTAGACCATCTCTACCTATGGTCTTTAATTTCATATCCTATATATCACAGGCGAACCCTCTGGGTAAATTTTTCAGGTCAAT